CAGTTAATCTTTTCCCTATCCAATCTCACCCTTTTGAAGTGAACAGCATTAATGATTTGGTGTGTATCTTTTCTCACCTTCCTCAGTGTTCTTACAAACACACAGACATTCATGTCCACATGTAAAAGGTATTTTTCTTGGGCAGAGTACTGTGTGCTGGTTATTAATCCCACAGGAGCAGAACACTGTGCACCAATGCTAGGAGAGGACTCTAAACACTCCTGTCCATTGTATCTTGATATTGGAGTTGCCAAGGAAAATAACAACAATGCGGTCAGGCTCTAGATGGAACAATGCTTTACTTGTATAGAAAAGAGAGCAAGGTCAGCTTCAGTATTGTGCCTAGGTCCTTCATGGCTAGCAGGTCCCCTCCCTCACCCAGCAGCTGACTGGGGCAATTGACCTTACTCACCCCTCTCCTTTCTACCACCATCTGCAATAGAGAGGAATGATCCCAACTGCACTCCTGTGGAGTCTGAAATACTGAAAGCTGGGGTGCACTTGAAGGCCATGGACACACATGCTTAGGCAGAGCAAAAGAGCACCCACTGAGCCTGAGATAGGGAAAGTGATTCCCTCACGAGGTGATAAGCCCAGCACAGGCTATGTGGGCTCTTTATCTCTTAGTAAGGAAGTGTTCCAGGCACAAGGCCCATTTCTCGTTCAGCCAAATGGGGGTCCAAAGACTGCATGCTTGAGACTGCCTTCCCCAACATTTTTTTTGCTGTCCCCAAATGGGTCATGGGTGAACATGATTTAGCAGCTTGCTTTACACATTTAACAACATACAGTGAACATTCCTCCTGGTCCATGAATGTCAATCCAGTTCATTATTTTTAATAACTGAAAAATAGTATGCAGTATGGGGATCCTGTACTTCTTTCAGGTGTTCCCCTACTGATGGGTGGCCAGTTTTTTTTAGTTTTCTGCCACTACCAACAATGCTGCGGTAAATACTTTATACCTATTTTCTTACATCTTCTCCTTTTTTTCTGTAAGATTGATTCTCAAGAGTGGGATGGCAGGGTCAGAGGCTCTCCCAATCAGCTGTCAGAGTCCAGAAGCCAGTAATGTGGTGGAGGACCGGTTTCTCTACAGCCATGCCAACACAGGCTGTCCTCCAACGTTCTCTTAGACGAAATCTCTTAGACGAAAATTCATACCACTTTGCAATTTTAATTTGCATTTTCCTTCTACTAGTAAGGTTGTCTTTTCATATATTATTTAACCATTGTATTTTCTTGTGTATGACTTGCCTTAAACTTTCCTAGTTCTTGCATACTTTATTTCTGCTAAACATTTCATGATGCAGAAACACATCTTTCCATCTCTTCTAGCATTTATTTTCCTACTGAGATTTCAGGAGGAAAAGATTTTCTCCTGGACATTGTCAATAGCAGCTATTTGAAATGCTAAAGATTTGATAAGCAAAATGGGAAATGTGAATGCTACTGAACTGATTGTTTACAGTAAAGGGAAGGCTGCCTATAACTCTGACCAATGCTTTTTAAATGATCAGGTCTTCAAGTCTGGCTGTGGTACCAATAGGCTGCATCCTGGCATTATTCTTTAACTCTCACCATAGCCATAATGTTGTATAAGGACTAAAGAACTTTTAAAAGCTTGTTAAAAAAACAAAAAACCTTGGGTCTGTGGAGGTCTATTTACCCCTTTCTGTAAATATGCGGGGGGTGGTGTGTGTGGGGGAGTTAAATTATGTTCTGCTTGAGTCCCTAGAAGCTGTCTTCTATTGTAAAGGGAATGGTTTTATTTTTTTTGCTTGAACTTGCCGTGAAGAATGACCCAGACCTTTACAAAGACCCACGAGCATTCAAGGAATGACCGAGGATGGGAGTGTAGCCTGTCCAGTGAAGCTGACCATATGCAAGCTTGTGTCTGTCTCACTCCCTCAGGGGTTGGAGGAAATGAGAAACTGGTCCCAGGTCCCTTGACTGGAGCTCAGGTATCTCACGACGACTCACCAAATAAATGAATGGAAAATCTAATTCTCGAGTCTGTTTCTGATGGTGTAAGAGGAAAGGGGAGAAGTAGAGAGAAAAGAAGGGATTCTTTCTTTTTTTCAAATGAGTGTTAATTTTTGTTGATGAGTTTGAATACAGGAGAGTTTATTACCTTGGGCTTTTCTTGTAATATAAGTGAGACTGTCTTCCTTCTTGTTCAAGGCAAAAATCTAAGACTGGGTGTTAAATTCCGTGGATTTATCTTTTGTCAGGTTTGGTTTCCTTTTCCAAGTTTCATGAGAGGTAAAGTTGAATATGTATATATAGGGCTGGGGGTTGTGAAATGAGGATGAGGATACAAAAAAAAGGATTATTTAAAAGTTAAATGATCTACCTATTTTTGGTTTGTCTATGCACATTCTTGCAATAGTTTTACTTTTCCACATCAATGTAGGAGTTTATTCAGAGAAGGAAGTTCCTAGAGTCTGTCCATCAGGAAGATTAGTTATTTTTTGTTTTTCCATAACTATTTGTTTGGTTTTTTTATTCACAACTTTGTGGCTGCTGCGTTTTTATCACTCTGCTTTTGGATTGTTTTGGTCTGAGTTGCAGATTTATCCACTGTGCATCTATTTTGTGTGTGTCAAACTGTGCCTTTCTAGAATAGCAAATGATGGTTTGGAATGGGAAGAATATTCCAGGTGCCTTAATCTTATACTTGCAACGTAGGCAATTGGAGAAGCCAAGAAGATTCATGATAAACGTGTCACGTGTTTTATTTATTTATTCTCTTACATGTATTTTAAATGATGAAAAGTTGCCCATGACAGTTACAGAAAATGGATGGAGTTACCTTAAAAATGCTTAAGTTCCATTTATGTACATCTGTGTGTGTACATACACGTACTTTTTAACAAGAGTTAAACTCCCCACTAAAACTTATATATGGGAAATGTGTAGTGGGCATCCTCACTTATGGGGAAGCTCAACAAGATTTGGGAAGAGTCCTAGGACATTCATATTAAAATAGGAAATGCAGGCTGTCTTCAAATGGCTCAAATCTTTGTAAATCGAGGACGGAAATCATGCAATTCTGAGACATCTAATCAGGATCTTTAGTTTTAAGTTCTTTTCCATTTTGGGGAAGCTCTTTCAAACGCTTTCTGCTTTCAGCTTCTCTTTGGAGACCTAGCTCTCAATCCTCAAGGGTGAGCACAAAGCATGCATATTTGGAATTTTATAATGTGTCCTCTTTATGAGATCCAGATTCTAGTGACTGGCTTCCTCTTTGGTTCTAATATTTAAACTCTAAAATTCTATCAGCATTAATCTCAGTTGAATCAAACTATACTCATCTGCCCAAACCATCCTTTTTCCTCTCCCCTAAAGTATTACAAAAATGTAGTATACTTTTTAGATGTTTGAAGATAGAAGATTATCTAGTCCAGTAAAAAGAAAAGTATAAACCAAGGAAAGCATTTCCTTCGCCTTAAGAACTGGTACCCACAGAGGCTCAAAGACCAAAAATAATACGAAAAGCCTCAACATCTGCAAATCTCTATTTCTACCCCACGTTCTACAAAAAAACGTAGAAATTGTACTATGTCACAGGAAAAAGCACCCCATGATCACTTCCCCGAGACGGTTTCCACATCAGCAATCTTGCACTTAAATTTCCCAAATCCAGCCTCATCCTCTGCAGATGACAATACTTTTGTGAGCTGAAATAATGTTCAAATTCTGCCGTTAGTGTCGGAAATCACTCATTCCCGATTCACAGGCGGGGATGAGCGGGTCTGGATTCCTGACATAACTAAGGAACTTGCAGCATCAGTCGAGCTTCTTACCAGCTTCTTGGAAACCCAAACAGCAGTCTGTCTCCATCTTTTAGAAGCCGATGGCATTCCCGCCCAAGACCCCAGTGTCATTCTGCTGCCCCTGTGCTTTGTGACCATGGCCATGGCCTGAAGTCACACCAGGAGGTAGTTTCGGAGCTCATTCCAGAGCTGGAATCTCTGTCCAGATTCACGATGGAACCAACTGATCAAGCAATCTTTTTATAACCCAAGATCCAGCTGTCTACCTTATCATGATTGATGTGTCTGAGGAATTAGGAATTCTTGGTTAGGTAGCACGTCTATTACAGACAGAAGAGAAAACCCTTCAGGGCAGCTGCTTAAGCCAAGAAGGAAAGGAACTTTGCACTGGATCGATGAAGGCAGATCTTGTCTGGGTGGAGCTTTTCTCAAAGCAATGGGTGGATCTTGAAGGCCTCAGATGTTTTCTGGTTCATTTGTCCTGAAAGATTCCTCCTCCTGTTGTACTGGAAATAGCTGGCTGTTGCCCCCACCAGGGTCACCACCACCTCGCACACGATAGGAGACACGATTTTTGCTATCCTGTTGCCTTGTGGGTTGCCGTACGAGGGACAGCCATCTCCACCTGCGGATGGCCTGGGCCTGGGCCGGTAGCGGCCATCATCGAGGTCCCTGTCGCTCAGGAAACCGTCCATTTGCTCCCCCGCTCCCCTTGCTGCGTGGCTGGCACAGTCCGTTTGGTGCCAAGAACCAGGCTCGGCACGTAGCAAGCGCTCAATGAAATGCTTTCACAGTCCTCAGTGGAAGCTAAGCTGCCGTCCTCAAAAGGGGTCCGTCCGGGTGGGCTGCTACAAACCTGCCAGAGATGCTCTCCTGTCCCTCGCACCCACCTGGGCAGCCTACTGCGGCCCCACTGCACAGCCTGCACGGCGGACCGGGCCCCGGGGCTAGCCCCCTGTCCCAGGACAGCCTTGATGTCCCAGCCGTGAGCATGGGGCACGGCTCCAGGCTCTGTCCCCTCCCCCCGTCCTGCAGCCTCCCCATCCAGGCCTGCCTCGTGTCACATCTTTTAATTGAAAATTGACTTCGTGGTTTTTTCCCATGGCTTTGAGTGTGGTCACTTGAAATACTTGTAACCAACAGAAGCCATTGGTGTGGATAAGGCCATGTGACCTCAGGTCTGAGTGGCTCACTCTTTGGTTGTGATTCACGTTGGCCTCACATGAGTGAATTTCAGAAGCAGCCCCCCGAGGAACACATCTACCACATCAACCGTAAGGAACTTAAGCTTCTCTGTTTCTGGCTTTCATTAAAGAAAACCCAGTGTTTTCTATACTTGTTCCCTTGACCCACTTTTAAACATTTAAAGAAATTCTTTTCTACAGTATTCACAGTTAACTAAAGTTTTCTTTTATTGATATTTTCTAAACAACCTAAGTTAACACAGAGGTTGGACAGTGTAACACAACTATGTCCTGGGTGACATGAAGGGATACCTTTCTACCACAGATAGTCCCAGGTATATGTCAAGTTTCAGCTTGTCAGGATGTTGGATAAGATCCTGCTGTAGGTGTTTTCTGTTACCAAATGGGGTTAATGTTCTAGGGACACCCATCATGTCTTGAGGATCCTAGTTCCTCTTAAACTTTCTCCCTTTACTTGTATCTTTTTCAAGGAAGTAGAAACTTAGAATTGTTTTACTGGGGAATATAAAGGTATAAACTCAGGCAGAACATTGATAGAATGAAAGCTAGCCTCTGGCTTAATGTAGTTCTTGAAGGGACTAGATGCAGTAACAAAAATGTAGTGATGGTGCCAGGACAGCTGGTACATTGATGTGTGCTGATTGTTACTTCTCTGCTGCGTTATTCACTACTTCTGTCAATGGCCACTGCGTTGGTTGTAATTCTTTTTTTTACATCTTTATTGGAGTATAATTGCTTTACAATGGTGTGTTAGTTTCTGATTTATAACAAAGTGAATCAGTTATACATATAGATATGTTCCCATATCTCTTCCCTCTTGCGTCTCCCTCCCTCCCACCCTCCCTATCCCACCCCTCCAGGCTGTCACAAAGCACCAAGCTGATCTCCCTGTGCTATGCGGCTGCTTCCCACTAGCTGTCTACCTTATGTTTGGTAGTGTATATATGTCCATGCCTCTCTCTTGCTTTGTCACACCTCACCCTTCCCCCTCCCCATATCCTCAAGTCCGTTCTCTAGTAGGTCTGTGTCTTTATTCCTGTCTTACCCCTAGGTTCTTCATGATATTTTTTTTTCTTAAATTCCATATATATATATGTGTGTGTTAGCATACGGTATTTGTCTTTCTCTTTCTGACTTACTTCATTCTGTATGACAGACTCTAGGTCTATCCACCTCATGACAAATAGCTCAATTTCGTTTCTTTTTATGGCTGAGTAATATTCCATTGTATATATGTGCCACATCTTCTTTATCCATTCATCCAATTATGGACATTTAGGTTGTTTCCATCTCCTGGCTATTGTAAGTTGAGCTGCATTGAACATTTTGGTACATGACTCTTTTTGAATTATGGTTTTCTCAGGGTATATGCCCAGTAGTGGGATTGCTGGGTCATATGGTAGTTCTATTTGTAGTTTTTTAAGGAACCTCCATACTGTTCTCCACAGTGGCTATATCAATCAATTTACATTCCCACCAGTAGTGCAAGAGGGTTCCCTTTTCTCCACACCCTCTCCAGTATTCATTGTTTCTAGATTTTTTGTTGATGGCCATTCCGACTGGTGTGAGATGATATCTCATTGTAGTTTTGATTTGCATTTCTCTAATGATTAATGAAGTTGAGCATTCTTTCATGTGTTTGTTGGCACTCTGTATATCTTCTTTGGAGAAATGTTGATTTAGGTCTTCTGCCCATTTTTGGACTGGATTGTTTGTTTTTTTGTTATTGAGCTGCATGAGCTGCTTATAAATTTTGGAGATTAATCCTTTGTCAGTTGCTTCATTTGCAAATATTTTCTCCTATTCTGAGGGTTGTCTTTTGGTCTTGTTTATGGTTTCCTTTGCTATGCAAAAGCTTTGAAGTTTCATTAGGTCCCATTTGTTTATTTTTGTTTTTATTTCCATTTCTCTAGGAGGTGGGTCAAAAAGGATCTTGCTGTGATTTATGTCATAGAGTGTTCTGCCTGTGTTTTCCTCTAAGAGTTTGATGGTTGTAAGTCCTGATCATTTTGTCTTCAATACTGCAAAAAGACAGATGCTCCCCTGACTGAATATCAGATTTAATTTATAAGCATTTGAATAGTACATATGTAAGGTCATGAGAGCTAATTAAATTAGTCCACAAATATTGATATTTATGGAGAACCTTGTATTAAGAGTGTATAAAGCACCTCATAATCTGAAGGAGGAGAAAGACAATGAATTGTGCGGTTAAAATATAGCATAAGTGATACATATCTTGAAGTCATCAAACTCTCTTTATTCTTCCCAGTGCTTCCCAAATAATCTTTTGCTGTTCATTTGGTTTCTCTAGTAGATTTTGTTCTGAGAAAGTAAAGAACACAGAATTTCCCGAAAGAAATTTGGTCTTCTTGGCAAATCAATCTCCCAGAAGATTTGTTAGTGGAAACTATCATCTAAGAGGCTGATTACCACAATGTGAAGTAGTGAAATAAAGTATCTGGACTTAACAGACCACAGAATATGACATGGTGTCTCAAAGATGCAGCCAACCTGGGGATCCCAGCCTGAATGGCCAGCTGGTCTTTCACAATAATTGAAGCCATGTCTTAATGCAAGGACATTTTCTGTAGTTAGCCCAGTAAAATGATGCCACAAAGCAAGCCACTCCTATGGGCCTGGGCAGCGCCACTGTAGCCATAGGGGAGCAGGGCCTCTCCATCCCTCAAATTTCCACAGCTCTCAGTACCTTCAGGAGCACCCTAAAGGCGTGGGTTGGGCATGAGCCCAGGGAAGCCTTGGGTAAATGGGGCCAGTTCAGACTGTCTGGGATTCTTATCCCTGACGGTAGGTAAGAGTCCTGATCAGACCTTAGTCACAGAAATGATAATTGAGGTTTATGTGCATCCCTGATTGATTTGAGCTCCTTGAAGATGGCCTGCCCTTCAGGGCTGTGCAGTACTTATTTAATTCTTGTGTGCCATGTACTTTCTGCTAACTTTAGTATCCTATTGCATTTTGGTAACCTCATCAATACACAATGCACCTAAAAATTTTATATCAAAGGTATGTTTCCTCTTACATTCAGAAGACAGTTACCTTGTACATATGGGTAAATGAGAAATGGAAGGAAATATTTCCATATATTTGTTTATCTCTATCTTTAATAGCATGTGACTTCCATCTTTAGCCAACGTTAGGTTCTGGTCAGTCACAAATTTTTCTTTAGAGAGTAGAGTCTATTTTAACCAGCATCTGACTATGTGGATTATTACCTAAATAGCATATTAAAAAAAAAGGGGAAAGATGGAGTATAAGAATTTAATTTAGTCATCTACAACCTCAGAAGCATCTTTAGATAAAATACTTAGTAAAGAGCATAAAGTCCTTATTCAACTGATTAGTACACTCTCAGGCTGAGCATTACAGAGATGATCTTTTTTAGCTACATTATTAAATGACAAGAAAGCTTTAGAAAATAATGCTATTAGTAGTGGTGACTCGTGTGTTCTTCATATTTTAAGAAGGATAATAAAATTTTATAGGACAGTGCCTGAAATATTTTCTTCATAAACTTGTTTAACTATAATTATAGTAATATATAGTATTATGTGTATTAATGCAATTTATAAAATGCAAGTCGTAATGTAGCTTTTACTCTATATAATGTTTAGTAGTAATATATAGAATAATGTATATCATAATATATAGAGTAATGTGCATCGTAATACATAGAGAAAGCAAGAGAGCCATTTTAGATCAGTTTAAGGCACACGACATGTTAACTTGTTATTCTCGTGTTGTTGGCAACTTGGTAGGATTCTTAGAAGAGAAACTGAAGAGGAAGGGGAGAGAGGCTTTCGAGAGAGATGGAGTGGCACAAAAACATAAGAATGAATAGAACATGAGTGAGGAACACTGCAGATGACAGCCTGGTGGGTTTTGAGGCCTTGGTGGGAGAATCATAGGCAGGCTAGTTGGAATCACCACTTGTAGCCAGCCGTGGAAGGTTTTGAATGCTAGTGTAAGAATTTTCAAATTTAGGCTAGAAGCAATTCCATTCCATCCATGTAATGTTTTTGCAACTGGGTTTTAACATGATGAAGGTTATGTGTTCAAAATATTAATTTGAGTGTTGTGTAGATTGGGTGGTGGAGAAAGAGAACTACAAGCAAGGAGGTAAAATTTAGCTAAGATTTAAATAATTTTGAGTGTGTAGTGACAAAAGCCCTAAATCACAGCAAGCAGTATGCACAGCAAGCAGTACTGTGTCATAGCAATGAAAATTCAGAAGGATAGACAGATATGATAGATGATGAAAAGATATGCAAAGGGCATCAAGAAGACTTGGTAAGACATAGAAAACAAGCCTATGGTTACCAAAGGGGAAAAGGATTGGGGGAGGGATAAATTAGGAGTTTGAGATTAGCAGATACAAACTACTATATATAAAATAGATAAACCACAAGATCCTACTGTATTGCACAGGGAACTATATTCAATACCCTATGATAAACCATAATGGAAAAGAATATGAAAAAGAATATATAGACATATATATATATAATTGAATCACTTTACACAACATTGTAAATCAACAATACTTAAGTGTTTTTAAAAAAAGAAGAGTTGGGGCTTCCCTGGTGGCGCAGTGGTTGAGAGTCCGCCTGCCGATGCAGGGGACACGGGTTCGTGCCCCGGTCCGGGAAGATCCCACATGCCGCGGAGTGGCTGGGCCCGTAAGCCATGGCCGCTGAGCTTGCGCGTCCGGAGCCTGTGCTCCGCAACGGGAGAGGCCACAGCAGTGAGAGGCCCGCGTACCGCCAAAAAAAAAGAAGAAGTGTTGATAGCTTGATTTTCTATTCTAGGGGATTAACTCAACAAATATTAGTTGAGCAACTCCTATATGAGAGGGTTTGGGAGATGAAAGCCCACCGTGGACTCTTCCCAGTGCTCAACAGTGGGAAACCCTGCGTATATTAAAGCTACAGACTGCCATAGGTGGCAGCTGGGGTTTATGTGTCACCCCCTCTCTCAAAGGCTGGAGATAGGTTATCCCACTGGCCTGTCCTACATTAGGGTTCCAGCCTTGCTTTTAGGATGTGAGA